TGATCCACCCGCCTCGGCCTCCCAAAGTGCTGGGATTACATGCTTGAGGTCTGGAGAGGGCTTGAGATTTCTAATGAGCTCCAGGTAATGCTGAGGTGCCTGATCCGGATCTCACTTAGAGTAGTAAGTAAAGTCGTGGGGAATCATTAGAGACCAATCCAGCCACAAATGTCACCCGAGAAGGAAGAACGAATCAAAACCAGGGCTGCACAGGTAGGTGGGGTGGCTCAGTCAGGGTCTCTAAAGTAAGAAGCTTGGGTATTATTTTAAGTGCGACAGGAGCTCACTGAAAAGCTTTGTGTAGACTGGGGATGGGAGTGGCATTACGTGATCTACTTTTTCTTTCTAAATCACTCTAACTGCTGGTGAAGCAGGCAACGTGACAGTGGGAGACCCCCTGGGAGGCTACTGCACAAATCTCAGCTGAGGTGACAGTGACAGGGCCCATGTGATGACAGGAAGATGGAAGGAAGTGGGCAGACCCCAGGGGTAGTTTTAAGGTAGAACTGAGAGAACTCACGGATGTGTCGGATATGGGGAGTGAGGGAAAAGGAAGCCCTAAGGATGCCTCTTGGGGTTGTGTCTTGAGCAAGTGAGTGGCCTGGGCCAGCATTTACTGAGGCGGAGGGAGGAGCAGGGAGATTGAGAAGACGGCACGTCACCAAAGGGAGATGTCAAGAAGACAGTGGCATGTGTGAGGCCGGGGCTCTGAGGAAGGTCTAGCGTGGGATATAAGTTGGGAGTGGTCAGCAGGGGCATTTTCTAAGGCTGTGAGAATGGGCTGTAGAGAAGATCAGGAGCTCTCGGATGAACCCTCGTGGGCATGGTCCCTAGGGACTGGGTAGAAGAACCAGCGACCAGAGGGCACCGAGGGAGGCTGCAGGCAGCATTGCCAGCAGGATTTGAAATGAGGAGATTGTAGAAGGGCTAACTCAAAGAGTTTGCATTTCACCTTTTTCCCCCTCTTGCATTTAAGGCATCATTTGAAAAGAGAAGAGATGGGAAGCAGAGGGAGTTAGGAACACAGGTGAAGCGCATCTGCCCGCTTCTGGTGAGACCAGCCGGCCAACTGTCAGGTCAACATGGCTCAATAACATCTGCTGGAAGAACAAAAGGAAGAGCTGCTGGCACCAAGTCACACGTGGACACAAACCACAGGGCAGGCTGTAGACGCCAGCCCCTTCCCCTTCCTGCCCTGTACCTGTTCTTCATGTAAAGCTATTACTCTAATCACTGATTCATCGTGTTGCAAATGATCATTTCCCTATCGTTTGTTTATTACTATTTTTACTTTCATTATCACATGAGATTTTCACACATGGGAGCCTCTGGGGGACATCTTTGTTTATTAGTTTATAATGTAAAAATGAATATTTTATATAGGAACATTTTAAACAGAGGCAGAAAAACCCTTAACCCAATTTTATCTTATGCTAAAATTTCATTATCACCAATTCTCAGGCCTCCAAGCACTGTGCAAACAATCCTTGAGGAATGGGTGTTATCAATTACTAATAACTATTAAATTAGCATGGAGTTTGATTTTCCCCTAAGTATGTTTCATAACTGCAGAGCAGAGAAAGAGACTCTGCTCCTTCCTGGGCCTCCGGTCCAAACAAACCTGAACCCAGCCCAGGCACCCACGTGTCTTAGAGTGGCCAGCAGTGAGCCCACAGCTGTGCCTCTGCCCTGCAGGGCACCCTGGCCAGGACATCCTCCAGGGTGGAAGTATGAACCCTTTTCCCAGGGAATTTCTGGCAGACGGATGTGATCTTGATATTCTCTGCAAGTGGCAGAAGGAGTTTTTCCCCCTCACCATCTGTTATAGGCTGAATTCTGTCCCCCTACGATTCAAATGTTGAAATCCTGACTTCCAGAAACCCAGAATGTGACTGCATTTGGAAACAGGGCCTTTAAAGGTGATTAAGTTAAAATGGACTGGTCCTCACTTCAATATGACTGCTGTCTTTATAGGAAGAAATCTGGACGCAGACACACACAGAGGGATGACCACATGAAGACACAGGGAGAGGATGGCAGTTACAAGCCAGGAAGAGAGGCCTCAGAGGAAACCAGCCCTGCTGACTCTTTGAACTCGGGGTTCCAGCCTCCAGAATTGTGAGAAAATGAATTTCTGTTTTAAGTCATGAGGTCTGTGGTATTTGCTGTGACAGCCAATGCAAACTCACACGCCATCTGTACCCTTCTCTCCCACTGTGTCTGATGCCCCAGGAACCACTGTCTTCGTTTATCCCAGGATGTCTGCAAGGAATAAAATGTCCCTTTTCTAGCATTTAGAGGCCACCAACATTGAATAACCACACTGGGGTACAAGCAGCAGGGAAAAGATTCCTACTGTTCTCATCACAGTGGCCTTGGAGATGAAGAGACAGATGGATCTGACCGCAGCGAGTCCTGACCCAACCTCCCATACATTCTACACATCAGCCATCAAGACTGAGCCAGGCTTGTGAGGGCAGAGTGGGAGGGAGACGAAGCCCAAGGTTCTCATCAGGACCTTCAAGATTTTCCTTTCTTCTCTACTATCAAAACTGTGTGAGGGGGAAAAAACCCAGAGTGAGACTGGAAATTCAGTCACCCACATCTTTGCAGTGGCTAACAGCTGTTAAGGGACATTTTATTTGTTTTTGTTTTTTTGTTTGTTTTTTGTTTTTTTTTTTTGAGACAGTCTCCCTCTGTCACCCAGGCTGGAGTGCAGTGGTGCCATCTCAGCCAACTGCAACCTCCGCCTCCTGGGTTCAAGCAATTCTCCTGCCTCACCTTCTCAGGTAGTTGAGATTACAGGTGCCTCCCACCACGCCCTGCTAATTTTTGTATTTTTTAGTAGAGACGGGGTTTCACCATGTTGGCCAGGCTGCTCTCAAACTCCTCACCTCAGGTGATCTGCCCACCTTGGCCTTCCACAGTGCTGCGATTATAGGTGTGAGCCACTGCACCCAGCTAAGGGACATTTTCTTTTTTTTTCTTTTTTCTTTTTTTTTTTTTTTAGAGGAAGAAAGAGAGAAAGAAAGAAAAAGAATAAAAAAAAAAGAATAAAGGAAAGGAAGAAAGAGGAAAAGGAAGAGGGAGAGAGAACAGGGGTGTTGCTTTATTGCCCGGGCTAAAATGCAGTCTAAAAATGGGTATGCCTGTAATTATGTTTAATAATAGAGACATTAAAAAAAAATGAGGGAAGAAAATAATTAACAAGCAGCCAACCAATATTTCATTTAAACCTGTAAATACGTATGATGTAGTACTGATAAGAGTGTATATTTTGTGTATTTAAAGTGGAGAGTTCTATGAATGTTAATTAAGTCTACTTGTTCCGGATCTGAGTTCAAGTCCTGAATATCGATGTTAACTTTCTGTCTCATTGATCTGTAAGTCTCCCACTATTATTGTGTGGGAGTCCAAGTCTCTTTATAAGTCTTATATATCTGGGTATTTCTGTATTGAGTGCATATATATTTAGGATCTTTAGCTCTTCTTTGTATCTTTATGTAATATCCTTCTTTGCTTCTTTTGATCTTTGTTGCTTTGAAGTCTATTTTATCAGCAAAAATTGCAACTCCTGCTTTCTATTTATTTATTTTTGTTCTCCATTTGGTTGGTAAATTTTTCTCCATACCTTTGTTTTGAGTCTTTGTGTATCCTTGCATGTAAGATGGATCTGGATGTAGCATACCAATGGGTCTTGGCTTTTTTTGCCCGTCTGTGTCTTTGGATTGGGGGATTTAGTCGATTTAAATTTAGAATTAATAACAATATATATGAGTTTGATACTGTCATTTAATGTTGGCTGGCTGTTTTGCCCATTAATTGATGCAATTTCTTAATTATGTTGATGTTCTTTATTTTTTCGCATTTTTTTAGAAAGGCTGATACTGGTTGTCCTTTCTATTTGTAGTGGTTCTTTCAGAAGCTCTTGTAAAGCAGGCCTGGTGGTGATGAAATCTCTGAGTGCTTGCTTGTTCACAAAAGATTTTATTTTTCCTTCGCTTATGAAGCTTAGTTTGGCTGGATATAAAATTCTGGGTTGAAAGTTCTTTTCTTTAAGGATGTTGAATATTGGCCCCCACTCTCTTCTGTCTTGTAGGGTTTCTGCTGAGAGATCTGCTGTGAGTCTGATGGGCTTCCCTTTATGGGTGACCTGACCTTTCTCTCTGGCTGCCATCAGTATTTTCTCTTTCATTTCAACCCTGGTGAATCTGGCGATTATGTGCCTCGAGGTTGGTCTTCTTGAGGAATATTTTTGTGGTGTTCTCTGTATTACCTGGAGTTGAATATTGTCCTGCCTTGCTAGGTTGGGAAAGTTTTCCTGAATAATATCCTGAAGCGTATTTTCCAGCTTGGATTGATTCTCTTTGTCACATTCAGGTACACCTGTCAAACGTAGATTAGGTCTTTTCACATAGTCCCATATTTCTTGGAGACTTTGCTCGTTCTTTTTTATCCTTTTTTCTCTAATCTTGTCTTTTTGTTTTATTTCATGAAGTTGGTCTTCGACCTCTGATATCTTTTCTTCTGCTTGATCAATTCGGCTGTTAAAACTTGTGCATAGTTCGCGAAGTTCTCGTGTTGTATTTTTCAGCTCCATTAATTCACTTATATTCCTCTCTAAATTGTGTGTTATTTTTAACATTTCATCAAACCTTTTTTCAAAGTTCTTAGTTTCTTTGCATTGGGTTAGAACAAGTTCTTTTAATTCCCAGAAGTTTCTTATCATCCACTTTTTAAAGTCTGCTTCTGCTAATGGAACACAGTCTTTCTCCATCAGGCCTTGTTCTGTTGCTGATGAGGAACTGTGATCCGCTGTAGAGGGAGAGGCGTTCTGAGTTTGGGTATTCTCAGCCTTTTTAGGCTGTTTTCTTCCCTTTGTTATAGATTTATCCATCTGTGGTCTTTATAATTACCGTCTTTATAGTTGGGTTTCTGAATGGACGTCCAACTTGTTGATTCCCGGCGCTAGAATCTGAGCAACCCGCTGCTCCGGCCAAAACAGCGGCTTTAAGATTGATGGTGCTTTTCTGACTCTGCACCAAGAACCGCCACACCAAGGCAGCGGCAAAACCGCCTCACCGGCCTCAAGAGTCGCGCTGGCGACATGTGGGGCTCCTCCGCTGGGAATCTCCTGGTGGGTGAGCAACAAAAATTGATCTGAAAGTGTGGCGTCCTCTCGTTCTCTGCTCTTTCAGTGGGAGCTACAGTCCCGAGCTGCTAGTGATCAGCCATCTTGGATTTATTTTATTTATTTATTTTTTTAATAAGGGACATTTTAATAAGCCCCAAACTGCAAATAGCCTTAAGCAAAAAAATGGTATTTTGAGTATGTATTCTCAGATAGGAAGGTTTAGAAGAGGCCAGTGAAGCTGCCTTAGTGCCCTACAAGTCACCCCAAAAGAGCTAGCTGCCTGATCGAAGCCAGAGCCTGCCCTCCTTTTAATTTGTACAGAATCTCATAGACTGCGCTGTTTACAGCACATCTTACTGTTAAATGTGGCCACCACAAGGATGCTTTGGTGTATTCGTGGACAGCATAGCCATGGAGGGGACACAGGCTCTGGGGTCAGATTTGTTTCTGTTTGTGCCTCAGATCTGCAACTTAATATATGTATGACCTCAGCGAGTTACTTATTCCTCCCATGCCTCAGTTTCCTCATATGTAAAATGAGGTAATAATGGTAACTCTCTCATTGGGTTTGCTGAGGATTAAATGGGCGAGTACATGACTGTAGCATGTTGTAGGATGTTTAATGGCATTATCATCATGATTAACTGTGTGGGCTTTGGTATCCCATCTGTAGCATAGAGCTACCAATACCTACTCATGGCATATTGTTTCTGGGATTAAATGAGATGCTGAATGACAAGCACATGCTAGTGTGTGTTCCTTTCCTGCTTCTATTTCTTTTCTGAGATGGAGTCTCGCTCTGCCGCCCAGGCTGGAGTATGGTGGCACAATCTTGGCTCACTGCAACCTCCACCTCCTGGGTTCAAGCAATTCTCCTGCCTCAGCCTCCAGAGTAGCTGGTATTACAGGCGTTCACCACCATGCCCAGCTAATTTTTGTATTTTTAGTGGAGACAGGGTTTCACCATGTGAGCCAAGCTGGTCTCAAACTCCTGACCTCGTGACCTACCTGCCTTGGCCTCCCAAAGTGCTGGGATTACAAGCGTGAGCCACTGTGCCCCGCCTCCCACTTCTACTATCTTAAGAAATACTGGTGATTCAGTTAACATCTCATCTGGTACGAACATTCATTGATACCAACATCCTTAACATCTAACTGCAGCTGAGTAGCCAAAATAACTATCTCCAGGGTCATGCTCTGAGAATTCCAGCTTTATGGGTAGTGAAACTTTTCCTGACAGCCTGATAATTTCCTCTTCCCAGATACGAAGTCCTTTTGATCACTTATTATGAGTCAGGCACGTTCTGAGCTTTATCTCACTTAATCCTCACCATAACACAATGAGGTAGATATCATCATCCCTGTTTTATAGATGAGAAAACTAGGGCTTAAAAAGGTTTAAAAAACCCAGGCTGAGGCAGGAGAATTGCTTAAACCCGGGAGGCAAAAGTTACAGTGAGCTGAGGTCACACCACTGCACTCCAGCCAGGGCAACAAGAGAAAAACTTCGTCTCAAAAA